GGCTTACGCTTCTCATCTCAAGCGATCTGGAAAGGTCAGTGCTCTTCTTCTTTGTTTTATGTAGGAATTTTTTTATCATACTGTTTATGATGTGGAAATTAGAGCTCTTTTGCATTTTGAGAAATCCCTTAAATGGATCGACATAGTATCTTTATAGGACAATAATCAAAGCTAAACTCATACTGTTGTGTCTTTTCCACTTATGGTGTGTTCGAGTATGTTGTATCTTTATCGGACAATAATCAAAGCTAAACGCATAATGTTGTGTCTTGTCCACTTATGATGTCTATTGGATCAATTGATGAACCATTTCTATTGGGTTGCTGTTTCCTGTTTGGGTGTGCTTCGTAGGACAATAACGTAATTGTATGTTGTTTGTTTCAGATCGAGCTTCCTTCATGGACAGACATTGTGAAGACCGGGAAGTTGAAGGAGCTTGCCCCATATGATCCAGATTGGTACTACATCAGAGCTGGTAAGCTCTCTTACTCCACAGTCTCATCTTAAATACACAATACTCGTATATAAAGTTTTACAATAATGTTTTCTTGTTATAATGCAGCATCTATGGCAAGGAAGGTGTACCTTAGGGGAGGTCTTGGAGTTGGTGCTTTCCGTAGAATCTATGGTGGAAGCAAGAGAAACGGAAGTCGCCCACCACATTTCTGCAAAAGCAGCGGTGGCATTGCCCGTCACATTCTCCAGCAGTTGGAGACAATGAACATTGTTGAGATTGACACCAAAGGGTAAAACATTATTTCCTTTAAAACCATAACTTTCTCTCATATATTTCAATAAGGTGGTAATGGTTACAGTGTTATTTTTGTTTGCTCTTCTTTCAGAGGAAGAAGAATCACTTCAAGTGGGCAAAGGGATTTGGACCAGGTTGCTGGACGTATTGCAGTTGAAGTTTGAAGTTTTGAATGTTGTTTTTAGTTCTTCACTCTACTTTTGAACCAATGTCCTGTTTTTAGTGTTAAATCTTTTTATCAATATCATTGCTGAATACTGCACTCATATCTTTTTGTTTGTGTCTTTGGACATTTAAGTCTCATCTTCTTTCAATTATGTGTGTTTTATCACTCCCAAAGATATAATTAATAATTACTGATTAAAATAGTTCATATCAAAATAGATGATTAGACCAATAATGGTGAGGATAAAAGATGAAAAATCAAGTTTACTGTTTAGGGCATGAAAACCGGAAGAAACCTAAAATTAGCTTAATACAGAAACCCTAAACTCAAGGTGAAGACACCAAATCCAAAACACGGTTTTAGAATAGAAAAATCCAAATAAATCCTCTAAAAGCATTTATAAATAAAGATCCTAAACTAATTACGATTCTTTTTTTTTTTGCTTTCTCTTCTCTTTGGGTGTATCATTAAATATTGAGATCCACCGGCGAAAATCACTTTTAGGGAGAGGAGCAAAATCATCTTCTCTCATCTCTGTCATCCAAGAAGCAGCTCAGTGATTTTTGTGTGTTTTGAATCGAATCGAATCGAAGTCTCTCAAAATTGAGATCAAATTGTTTGAAATCTTAAATGCAATTGGGATCGGAGCGGAGGTGATGTTGTTTGGATGGGGAGGAATTAGGGTTTTATCCGGTTGGAAAGAGGTTAAAGGATGCAACTTCACATCTCGCCTAGTATGAGAAGCCTGACGATTTCGAGCAGCAATGAGTTTTTTGATTCGATGAAGATCAAAGTCGCACCTCCTCTCATTTCTTACCGAACTCTCTTCCACACTATCTTAATCCTCGCCTTCCTCTTGCCTTTTGTCTTCATCCTCACCGCTCTTGTTACCCTTGAAGGTGTCAACAAGTGCTCCTCCATTGGTAAAGTCTCTTCCTTTTTTTTCTCCTTCAACCTTTGTAGCCATTGGTTTGATTTGGCAATTGGTTTGGTTCGGATCTCGACTTATTGCTTAAGATCTACCACCAAAGGATTGCCACAAGCATTTTGATTGGATCCAATGGTTATGTCAACAAAGTGTTGGCAATTTTGAAAATTTCTTGTTTGGTTTCCTCCACAAATGATAAAGAAATTACTTAAGAGTCCCAAGGGAGCCAAATGAGCTTCCTTTGTATTAGTAGTATTATGCTTTAACCTCAGATTATAGTTGTTAGTTGCAAAACCAATCTTAAAGCTGTTATCTTTTTGCTTAGAGCTGAGCTCATGAAAATTTCTTGCCTTTCTTCTTGTTTTGGCTTCAGATTGTTTAGGGAGGCGGTTAGGACCACGGCTTCTTGGTAGAGTAGATGATTCAGAGGTGAGTGATAATTGCTTCTTTTTTTAGATATTTGAAAAGCTACAAGATGCATTCCTCTTCATTTGTTTATCATTTTCTGTTGCAGCAGAGACTAGTTAGAGACTTTTACAAAATTCTAAACGAAGTCAGCACTCAAGATATTCCAGATGGTTTAAAGCTTCCCAATTCTTTTCGTCAACTTGTTTCTGATATGAAGAACAACCACTACGATGCCAAAACATTTTCCCTCATCCTTCGAGCTATGGTACACACATTATCTAGATCTGAGGTTACTTGTTAAAACTGTAGAATGCTAATATGCTTATATATGATTTGTTAACAGATTGAGAAGTTTGAAAGGGATATGAGGGAATCCAAATTTGCGGAACTTATGAACAAACACTTTGCTGCAAGCTCTATTCCTAAAGGAATCCACTGCCTCTCTTTGAGACTAACCGATGAATATTCCTCAAATGCTCATGCTCGGAGGCAGCTTCCTTCCCCGGAGCGTCTCCCTGTTCTCTCAGACAACGCTTACCACCATTTTGTTCTCGCTACAGACAACATTTTGGCTGCATCGGTTGTGGTCTCGTCCGCTGTTCAGTCATCCTCGAAACCTGAGAAAATTGTTTTCCATGTTATCACTGACAAGAAAACCTATGCGGGCATGCATTCTTGGTTTGCGCTCAACTCCGTTGCTCCTGCGATCGTTGAAGTCAAAAGCGTTCATCAGTTTGACTGGTTGACAAGAGAGAATGTTCCTGTTCTCGAAGCTGTGGAGAGCCATCACGGTATCAGAAACTATTACCATGGGAATCATATTGCTGGTGCAAACCTCAGTGAAACAACTCCAAGAAAATTCGCTTCGAAATTGCAATCAAGAAGTCCCAAATACATATCTTTGCTCAACCATCTTAGAATATATCTACCAGAGGTACCATATTCTGAAATCAACTTTCTATCCTTTTTATTCAAAATATTTGATTTGAGAATATGAATTTGAAGCTTGTTTGTTTGGCCCTTTTGAACAGCTGTTTCCAAACTTGGACAAGGTGGTGTTCTTAGATGATGATATAGTGATTCAGAGAGATCTCTCTCCTCTTTGGGATATTGATCTTCATGGGAAGGTAAACGGAGCTGTGGAGACTTGTCGAGGAGAAGACGAATGGGTTATGTCAAAGCGTCTCAGGAACTACTTCAACTTCTCTCACCCTCTCATAGCAAAGCATTTGGATCCGGAGGAATGTGCTTGGGCTTATGGAATGAATATCTTTGATCTACGGACTTGGAGGAAGACAGATATCAGAGAAACGTATCATTCTTGGCTAAAAGCGGTAAATCACTAGAGAAACCTGTAATGTCTTTTGAGTTTTACGATTTCAAAATATGGCAAATCCATGATGTTGCTTTGATGATGTTTGCAGAATCTGAAGTCGAATCTAACAATGTGGAAACTTGGAACATTGCCTCCAGCTCTGATTGCATTTAAAGGGCATGTTCAGGCAATAGATTCGTCTTGGCACATGCTTGGGTTAGGATATCAGAGCAATACCAATATAGAAAATGTGAAGAAAGCTGCGGTGATTCACTACAATGGGCAATCAAAGCCGTGGCTGGAGATAGGTTTCGAGCATCTGAGGCCATTCTGGACGAAATACGTTAACTACTCCAATGATTTCATTAGGAATTGTCATATCTTGGAATAGGAAACAGAAACCTTTCAGATAATTGAAGAAAGAAGTGGAGATTTGGCGGGTTTCTGGAGATATAAATGGGAATTTTGCTGGAAGATGAAACTAGTTACAGAGCTGCAGGAGAAGGATTGATTCTTCTGTAGAGATAGAAGGTATCCTTTTGCTGAGATTCTTTTGACACAGCTGAAGAAATTGGATTTTTTTTTGTCATATTCAGACAACAAACACTGTTTCATTTGCTCCACATGTATTTTTTTTTTCTTCTAAATTTGTTCGTTCGTAGTTTTTGACAAGTAACAATTCCAATTCTTTTACGATTTAATTTCTGTAGTATTTGTGTTTTGAATGGGAACATAATTGATTTGTTAGGGTCAATATATGACCACATTTCTTGATGGAGAAGTTTTCTTAGGGGGAGAATCTAATTCTATTTGCCTTTGTAGCTCATGCTTAAAGAATTCATGACATTAATACCACGTTCTACTTGCAGAACTAAGATATGGTTGGCTTGGTAATGACTTGGTAGTAAAAGTGGGAATGGAACATGTAAACTTTTTTTTTTTTTGCCAAGGACTCTGCTTTGTAGCTCTGTTTCTCAGTTCATCTGCTTTGAGAAAGGACATGGGTGTATATGTAATCCCTACGTGGATTCTACAAAAAAAAAAATCATGTGGACATAATGTTGGCTAAAATCAAAGTAATGACGTCAAAAAAGAAAATGGAAACAAATTCCCACCAAAAAGGTAAGAAAATACTACATATCACCAGAAGAGATTATGCCAGCAATTACAAGCTGTAATTCCCTTAATTATGTACTTACCTTTAGTTAATGTTCTTGTAATCTAGTCAAACTCGGTTTTAATTAAAAGTAGGATCAGAATTCGAAAAGGCTGGTGGAAGAATTTGGAGATCTTTTTCCTGAAAAAGAGAAATTTATTAATGTAAGATTTCAAGATTTGTCACTCTTTTAATTAAAAACCCGTTCATGCTTCAACAGTGATACAGAGAGAGTCACAAAGCATTTACCCCCTTTTTTTTTGTCTAGAGTGATCGATGGCGAGAATCGCGTTAATGGCTGCTGCAGTGGTGCTGGCTTTTCTTGCTGCGGCGCCGGTGACTGAAGTGGCGGCGAAGAAATGGACGGTGGGAGATAACAAGTTCTGGAATCCTAACGTCAACTATACAGTTTGGGCTCAGGACAAACATTTCTACCTCGACGACTGGCTCTGTATTATTCTCTCTCTCTCTCTATCTCGACGTTGATTCTTATCACACTCTAGAATAGATTATATGATTTACATACAATGGGAAATGAGTAGAAAATAAATTCAGAATTTTCAAAAAAAAAATGTTGTAAGATTGTCGAACACTATGGATCATAGGTTGTCTGAAAGTAGGACCACTAGATTCTTCTCTGCCTCTTTTCTTACACACAGAACAGTTACTTTCAAATTGTTGTTGATTTATTTAGTTTCTCCCCTGTTTTGGTTTCTTGGTTTTTCTATCAGATTTTGTGTACGAGAGAAACCAATTCAACGTCATAGAAGTGAATGAGACCAACTACATTAGCTGCAATTCCGATAACCCAATCGCTAATTGGAGTCGTGGATCTGGAAGGGACGTTGTTCATCTCAATGTGACCAGACATTACTATCTCATTAGCGGTAATAGTGGTGGTTGTTACAGCGGCATGAAGCTCTCTGTTTTAGTTGAGAAACCTCCTCTTCCTCCACCAGCTTCAGCACCTATCATAAACAATGCAAGAAGAGCCTTCACCGTCTCAGGTTTTGCTCCTCAGTTTGTTATTCGGGTCGCTGTTTTTGCAGTAATCGGGTTATTGTGGGACAATGTTGGTACTGGCCTTTTTGGTAACTAGTCTTGATTTCTTCAAATGAGAAAAAAAAACGATTGGTAATTTGTTATCAGCGAATCTCAATATTTTAGATTGTTGTAGTGTTACTCTCTTTTTTTTCTTCTTAATGTTGGTTTCATGAATCTTCAATCATTGCTCCCTTGACGTGTGTGTGTGTGTCAGTGTGTGCATGCCTTAAGAGATTGTTCATGCTTATGCTTTTGTTTGTGGGAAATCAAATATTTGAAGAACAAGTGTAGTTTAATCTTCTAAACTTGATCGGGCCTATATTTTGGACTCTGATTTGTTAGTTATATAGCATGCATGCATGGGCTTTAGTTTTTGATTTATATGGGTCCTCCAGTTTGCAACATGTCAACTATCTATCTACATCTCTATGTATATACATGAGTCATATATGCATGACATCAAAGACTAAAAGTGTTTGGGAGCACGTTTATCTTCGACTCTTATTCATTCTAAACTACTCCACTTGCACTTTTGTTGGTGATAAGAAAAAATAACCTCAAGACCAATTTGTATAAATAACATATTGGTGAATCTGTAAGACATTAATACTGAACTTGTAATAAAACTTCATTTTCGTTAAGAGTTTTAGGAATTGAAATCAACAACATAGAAACTCTATAAATTAATGTTCTATAAATTAATAAACAATGTGAATTAATAATTTTTCTGGTTTCAAGTTGGAAAACCCTATATAAATATAAATATATGGTCTCTTTCAAATAAAATATATAGTCCAAATAAAATTATAAATTAATAATTTATATGTATACATATTTTATATAAGTATAATTTTATCATTATTTTTATTTATTTTATCTTTTCTTAACATTTAATATATTTGGATGAGATTTAGTAAAAATATATCTAAAACCACATTTAAATTCTATAACAATATAATAAACCAATAGAAATGTCAAATTGAAAAAACTTATATACATATACCAAAATCAGATATTTTTTATTAATTAGTTAAGTTCTTTGCTAGTTTAAAAAAAGTTTTTGCTTTTAAATTCGACTGGAGAACCTACGAAGAAATATTTTTCATATAATGAAGTAAAACGCCACCTTTGATTATTGTGGAAAGCTTAGAAAATAGTCTACAAGTTATGTTTGATTATATTTAAATTTGTTTTAAGCTATTGTTTTACAAATCTCTCTTATTAAAACAAAATCCTTCCTGTGAATCTAACTTTTGTTTGTGAATTTTTAAATTAAATATATTCTTCTACTATATAATTAAACTCATCCAAATTAATTAGTACTTTCTTCCTTATACTACTATTAAATGGGTTTCAAACTACACAATAATTAATTTTGTATCCAAACAATATAAAAAATTAAGATCTATATTTTTAATATTTTTATTCATCTTATTTTCAATAATTTGTTTGAAAAGCTCAATTAATTTATGAAACAAATTCAAAAATAAGTATAACTATTTTTACGGTGTTACATACTACAAAATAATTTCATTTAATATAAAATTAATTAAATTCATGGATATATATTTATTTTTTTTAGAAATAAAAAAATTAAATACACAAAAATGTAATGTTTAACTTTACTTATAAAAAATAAGTTAAAAATATATTAATTTTCTTAATTTAATTTTCTTAAAATAGTATTTGGGTACCTTTAAACTCGAATCAGAATCTAGTATTATATAAAAGTATTACCACGAACTAGCAAAATCCTTGACTAGGGTTTAATCTAATCATCTACTTCTGAAACTGTGGAGACTATGAATAGTCTCCTAAACCTATCGAAACCCTAACTCTGTTTTATTAAATAGAATTTTCGTCAATAGCCAGGAAATAATCATTAAAAACGGCAACCAACAAAACTAGCTATATTAGTTTATTAGTATAATAACTAAAGCTGGCAGATTAATTTATATTACTAGTTCATCACATAGAAAATGACGCGATTATAAAGTTTAGTTCAAACCCTTCAAAAGAATTTCAATGTCAGTTAAATGATTGTTCGTGTGGTTTTCGCATTTTCGACAATGTAAAGGGGCTTAAGATAGCGAGTAATTTGTTAAAATAATAGCTTGACCCCTATCCTAATGTCAACCACACGTCACGAAAAAACAAACAGCTCTTCAAATTTTTTTTTGGTCATAAGATTGCTGTTCACAATGTTTCTTCTAATCCTCTTACACTCTATGCATCGAGCCTTTTTTACTTAAAACATACATTTTGTTAAACAATTTTTTTATAAATTCATGATGTTTTAATAAGAATCTAGACCTATTCTTTTTTGGTCGTTACAATTGTTTTGACCCTTCTCGAGTTTTGATTATTGTTTCTAATATATAACCTGTCACCACTTTGTGGTTAAACTCTTATAAGTGTTATAAAAAAAAAAACCTGTCAAACCTTTTTAATATTTTCTGATCGACTTCAATGTTTAATTTTATTTCAGAAAAAGTAAATATTAATTACTGGGATCCAATGATTATTTAATTATTTTTTTCCTAAGGACTTTCCGTTAAGGACCGCCATTGCAGATGCTAATAGTGATTCGAGCGCGCGGTATAAAATATAGTATCAACCAGTTATCAAGCAATGGACCAAAGTGGGATATGGATTTTTTTTTTTTTTTGAACTGATTCAGGGGATATGTTAATAGTTAGCGAATAACAATCTTATGATCTGGCGATCAAAGGGATCCCCTTTTAATTTATTTCCATTCAAAATCCAATCTTAATGGAAATCTATATCAGGTATTAATCCTATCCAAGTCTCCTTTAATTTATTTCCATTCAGAATCCAATCTTGGTGGAAATATATATATCAAGTATTAAGCCTATCCAAGTCTTTATCATATAGCAAAAAGAAAACCAAGTGTATATATTTAGTAAAACGTGTGAGAAACACTATACTAGTAACTATACTCAATTGATGTAAAAAAAAAAAAAGGTAACTATACTCAATTTATGCTATAATAATATATATATATATTGATCATAACTCAGAGTTTTGAAGAAATAAAACTTTAACAGATTTAGTATATCTTTTTGTTTGTGCATCTCCACAGCCTTGTAAACATGTCAAACTCAAAAGTTCATGTACAGTTTCTATAAAACATGATCCCCCCCCCCCCCCCAAACAAGAAATATACAATGACAATACAATAGCAAGTTGAAATTTAATGCTTTTGAACTTACGATATCAATAGATATATCTTTTGCCGGCTCTTGCAAATTGCAGATTATGTTCAACATGACATAAATAACGTAGGCAAGTTGGTCCTTCTGTGTTTGGCTAGAAAATGAATAAGGTGAATGCTTATTGGCTATTCCATTTATCACATTTAATTCCCACCTGTATAATTATTGACCTTTAGCAAACAGAACAAAACCAACCCTCCCTTCGTAAAAAGTTAAGTTCATGCATACAACTTCGTTCTAACAAAAAGACAGCATTAACATATTTTCCTGTGAATCAATATGTGAAAAAGTGGATGGTTTGAAGAAAGAATATTTCAAGGAAACACATCGATAGATGATTTCTTCAAAGTAAAATTGTTTCAATTCTTAACATTTCCTAATTCTCAAAGGTTGGTTCACATATCTACTTCATCTGCAGTGTTAAGGTAGTTAAACCCAAAGTTGCGATGCATAGATTAATATTAAACTGTGTAGGAGACTGTAGCTTTGCATAGACTATAGAGCCACAATGGGGCACTTGTTTATTAGTGCATGTTGGACTACATACAGGTATACGTCATTTAACCTAAGAAGTGTATTTTGTCGCGATTTGGTGGATGCCTTGCAGTGCCGGTCTTATGGGGCAAACTTCTATGATCGACAGTGACAGACAAAATTTCCAATTATGTATAATATACTTAAGTGAATGGGCAGTTGATAATGTAAAATTGTTTTAACATTTTTATCAACAAAAGAGAAGATGAAAATTTTGAAAATGAAAAAAGTTTTATACAAAATAAACAGAACAAGCAATTAAAAAATTTCGAACATGAAAATAATTCGTTTTTGTCACTAAATTTGCAAAACAACAGGAGAACCTATATATATATATATTGATATGGCGGTTGATAAAACCATGTAAAATCACAAAATTATTTCAGGAACTTATCATTCCAGGAGTTACTCATCAAAACCAGCCTCTGTATCTTCTGATCAACAATTATTGTGATATTAGATTTGAGGTATACAAGACTCATCAGAAGCTCAAGTCGAATTAAGAACGAGACACTAAACATATCTACCAAGTGAGACAGCTTTCAGCCATACTTAGAGTATATTTTATGAATTTTTGAAAAATTTTAAACATGCATGCCTTGCTAGTATACTTATTTAAAGATCCATAACCAAATTATAGTGATGAAACTGCTTAACAATCGTTTTGAAAATGTCATCGTCTCTTGATAATAACCTCAAAATCTACCAAATTTTTCGAGGTCATGGTCTAACTCCTATGATTTTTTTGAAAACTTCAAAACATATAATCTTCCTATTATACTTATTTAAAGACTCATTAACCATATTATAGTGTTGAAACTACTTAACAATCATTTTAAAATATTTCGTCGTCTTTAGAGAATAACGTAAAAATTCACCAAATGTTTCAACACCATAATTTGGTTAAAGGGTCTTTAAATAAGTATAATACCAAGGAATACATACTTAAAAAATTCAAAAATACATAGGGATTAGCCCACGACCTCGAAATTTGGTGAAGTCATTATCCTCAGAATACAACAAAATATTTTCAAAACGATTGTTAATCAATTTCAACATTATAATTTAGTTAATTTCTCTTTAAAGAAGTATATTAGCAAGAAATACATATTTTTTAAATTTTTTAAAATTCATAGATGTTAGCTTACGACCTCGAAAATTTTGGTGGATTTTTTGACCTTATCCTTACAAGGCGACGAAAAATTTTCAAAACAATTTTTAAACATAGTCAACACTATAATTTGGTTAATGGATATTTAAATAAGTATAATAGCAAGGAATTAAT